CTCCTCGATGACTACCTGCTGGAAAACCTGGAATGTAAAACATCAGCCACCCACTACTACTCCAAATTGAGAAGGATCACCAACTTTGCATTTCCTAATTCCATTCCGGTATGTTGTTCAAGTACCAAGGTATACTCCCATCTCAAAACGTTTGACAGAACCGGTATCACAAGTTAATAAGGGTTGGTAGACAATACTGTAATCTTACCGAACTGGCTACTTTTGGATTTGGACACAAAGGTAAGGCTCCGATGCTGGGGGAGATGGGTTTTTTTTGCCCTACCTGCCCACAACCGGGAGTCAACCTTCCTGATGACTGGAACAAAAACCCCAATGATCCTACTAACTGGAAGTATACCAGAGGATTTGTAGCCGATGGCAATTTCACAGCAGCCCACCAAAAACAGGCACGGCCCAAAGATGATGTTTGGCTTAAAAATGGGGATAGTTTCATGATGCAAAGAGGACCTTATTTGAGCCACCTTCAGGACATGATTGAAGATAATGATGTAAGTTTTTATCCTTCGAGTGACTTGGCCGGTGTCTGAATCTTTCAGCCGAGGACATGTCATGAGCACAATGCTATCAACAACAAGAATGTATTTCACCGAGGTTTTGATGCTACTGGAATTGGAGCCATTGCTTGCCTTCGACATGGCACCTTTTGTCCGGGTTCAGTGGTAGATTTTCAAAAGGGAGAAAGGTATGCAAGTTATCCTCAGGTTGAATCGTTGTTTTACCGAACAGGCAAATGAACATGGACTATGCCTTGTGCCAGGCTCTGAAGAATACCATGACCGGTGAAGAAAAAAGGGTTATTTTTGTCTATGACATCAACTGCCAGTATATGGTGAATTTGATGGCTTGGATAAAACGTGGTGCGAAACACCTCTGGATCAGACCAGACTTGTTATTGGTAGCCGGGATCAGCTTATTCCATGTCCATGGCCATCAAGAAATATGCTTTCCATGATTTGCCCCAACATTCATCCCCAGGGCCGGTCAAACAGATGGAGAGATATTGGAGACTTTGTGGGCTGTTCTCAACGAGGTCGGTCGCACCACCCAGACAATGACTTTGGCCCATAGATCGGAGGTGTTGGATGCTCACATGCTGGATAATAACTGGAAAAAAATGATCAATATGGGTATCTATTTTCAACTGCTTTTACATTGCTTCTAAGCTAATAAATGTCAAGTGAGTAGCCTTTGCAAGAAGTGGAAGCGAGCAAAACTCGGGCTCTCCGAGAGCTTCCAGGCTCTTGAAGAATTAAGTGCCTCAGCAAGTAAGGAACAGATTCAAGAATGGGAGCAACAGATCAAAACGGCAAATTTGAACCAGGCAAAGGACCTTTCCGCCATGGACATCTATTACGTCAAGGTCAAGGAAGGTAAGGACCAAGTTTTCCATCACAAAGGCCAGCTGTAAAATCATTCAATCAGCCGAGACCGAAAAGGGCATTCGGCTAAAACTTATGACTAAAGAACAGGCAGGCAAGGTCAAGCCGGGGTTAACTGGATGGGTAAACACCGGTATCAAAATTCAGGAAGCCCAGTGAGTAAAGTCAAATATTGCTAGATTCAAACATTGAACAATCCAGAGCCGAATTGGCCGCCTTTGTGAAGGCTCAAGGCAGTCGTCCAAGTGCCGATCAGAAGCTGGAGATAATGAAACGTCGAGAGAAGCTGTCCAAGCGACTTGAAGAGTTTTCCGAGGCTGGTCAAGGCCATTTTCCCAACTTGGAAATTAACGAAGGAACTATTCATGATCCACCGCTCTCGGAGGATATTGTGGATGACGATGACTGGAGCGATTGTGATGAAGAGGAAACCCCAGCACCGAGCATACCCAGTTTGCCTGATCAGGGATATGGATCGGCCGAACATCAACAAATCCTCTTACCATCCTCATTTCAAGCAGCCCTCCTCCCTACATCACTGGGAGAAGCCCGGTGCGTAGAGATAGAATTGAGAGTGGCCCAGGCAAATAACACTCTGAAGCGTTTACAGGAAGCCATTGGTTACAAGTCATTCCTTTATCGGAAGAGAATTCGAGCCGAGAAATCGAAAAAACGTGTAACTCGGGCTTACGATGCTGTACAAGGATCAGATCGCGATATGAAAAGTGCTCTCCAGGCATACAACCAAGCTCGATGGGCTCTTAATCAGCTCAATGCTCCTCAGGGCACTCGTGACCGATACAAGCCGATAGGGAAAAAAGATACAAGGGCACTAACTACGGTATACGATGGCAACGCCCGGGGTCAAAGAAATATTGCTCTGCCATGGTTCTGGAATATGGCTGTGGCCGATGATTCGTCGGGTTCAACATACATGGAACAAGGTCAGATCCAGTCACTTTTATTACTCTACATGAATTGAAACCAGACAAATCAAAGTATATCGGGTGAATTGGCTCAGAGCAAAAGCTCGATATGACCGGTGGTCAGAAGAGCATACCTTGATCCCAAACGAAATGAACTGGACCCGCCTCTATTTCATCAACAA